ATGCGATGCGTACCCTTAGTGACGTGTGTGTGTGTGTGTTTGTGTGCAAACTCATTGACTCACTAAAAGTGCCTTGGGGTACTTCGATCATCCACAATCCACAGCAGCTGCAATGCGCCATGTTGAGTGCGTGTTTGCTTTTCTTAAAAGTGGTCATCAAACGTGTGTTCACAGCCTCGGTTACTCGTATTGTTGTTTCGGTGGATTGACTCCTGGAAGGCGCTCATTGAAATCTATCAGGAGAGTGTGAATGTAGCGATGTAGATCCAGGTGAATCGGTTGACATATAGCCCACTTGTGAAAGACACTGCTTCTGAGTAAAGTTGGTTTCATTTGACGCTTTAATATCGTATGGATTTGGCTTGTTTTGACTGAATATCGATGGTGAAATAGCCCACGGTGTCACCAAGACATTCTGTTGGCTAAGATTTACGAAAGCTAAGAAGACAGCTAGAGCTGAAACAGCTGAATTCAATTTTGCACAGGATAATTAGCTCTAACGAAGCTAGAGGTTAAGTAACCGAACGAATAGGAATTTCCAGAATTCTGAGTTCGATCGATTAAAGTCAATGGATTTTGGGTAATTCACTTTTCGGTGAGTAAGTATTCGCAGTACTGCAGAGTTTTTGCCAGATTTGAGAGTGGTCCCCATTAGATGAGTAGAACAAGTGTGGCTAAAGTGGTCTCAATTAGCATTGATATTTATGGAATGCAGAACTGTTATGAGCCATGTCCTGTGGACTACCGTGAACTTCGAGCGATGGCACCTTCAATGCGCAGAAAGCATTCATCAGGTCGTGTAAGATCTTCGCGGTGATTTGACGCGATGAGGTAGGCTGGCTTATCCTTGAAGTCAGTGACATCTCTCCACATAGTTGATTTCTTATCAACTTTTATCACAGTTGGTACACCTTCTTCAGCCGTCACACAACTGCAATTTTCTAACCATTACCTCACCCAAGTGGTATCTTAAATTTGAGTTCAAGTCGATTGTTTAGAGTTTTAATAAACTGCTATTGGACTTCAAACAAAAAACGCTCAAGTTCCGCTTAATTCCTCTTGATAAATGTTGCAAACTTATAATTTTGCAAATAAAAATAGTTTAGACTGATTCCTAACTGGTAAACCAAATGTGGCTCTACTAGATTTCGTTTTGATTCCCCATTAAACTACAATAGAAACTACTTCTATAATAGAGACTAATATTCATTTATGACTTGATCATTCTGCACATTGCATCTGTAGCTTTTTGCCGTTTCTCAGTTGCTTCTACTTAACAATGATGGTTAATGTTTATAAGAGATAACTTGGAACATTTAAATGATGTTCGGTTTTTCAAACAAATCTGTTTGGCTAAAAAGAGCAGATTACTAAAAACTTTTGACTCGGATAAAATTATTGAAGAAAGAGAGTTATTGGACGTGGAACATTATAGAGAGCTTACTTGGATATGCAATCCACTATTTATTGCTGTGGATGAACACAAAACACGAAACACAACAACTGCATTTGGCCATGCCTATGGTCATATAAAACAGCTCACGGATTGGATATTGGCAATCTGGTCGGAAATGATGCTTTCAAGCAAGATGTATTCATAGTAAACAAGCTGAAATCAAGATTCACACGACTTCAAATGTTTACGCAAACTCAACACGTTTCAAAAGCAGTGGCAAAAGTTGTATGTTGTAGATGTGGGCAAATTGTGTCTGTGCAAAAAACCGGAGTGTGCGCGAGGAGTGTTTTGGTGTGGTTTGAGAAATTTGCGTTGAGTGCTGCAGATTACAACATCCTGTCTCATACATGCTTCGGAAGTGAATGTGGCTCCTTTACACTTGGAAACCGCCTGTCATGACGCCTGTGCTGACGTAGGAATGTGAGAAGTCATATTGTTTTGTGCACGGAGCCGCTACTTCGATAGAGGTGTGTGTGTGTGTGTGGGTGTGCATGGATGTGAGTAGGGTTGCTTTTGGGTGGGAGAGATGCATGGGGTCATGCAATAGGGAAGGTCGTGCATCGCAGCCTGCGGCTGAGGGAGTTACCAGTAACACCGAAAGACAATGTCTTTGTCCAACGGACCAAATCACTACCTCACATGCAGTTTCACTTGATGGTGAAATCATCTAGCTAGTGGCGAACACAGTACGTTACTAGTGGTGATCGTTTTGTTGTTAGCTGCGCAGGTGGTGGTTCTGCAAATGCGCAGTCGAGTCACAGAAGTGCAACACGACTTTGGGTGATGTGTCGACCTTACTTGCATTTGCGAGGGAAGGTGTGGAAGTTAGCGTCTGATAATGGATCTGGAGTCATGACAGGCGGTTTCCGGTTATCTAAGACCAAAGAAATTGGTTTTTGATTCCTTTTGTCAAGTTAATGGCTGATTTTGATCAGCTCAGCTCAAATTTGTTCGCAAGTGTTTCCACGCAATAGCACCTGAGTTCGATTATCTAATTTTCGTTTATATCTCATATGGTGCCATTTGTTCATGGAGTCTAAGGTTTGTCATTCAAAGTTGTTTGTATATTGTCACACACCAGACAACGCCCTGCTTTCTAATTTGATTGAAAGATAAGTCACCCTCTCTCGTCTGCGCGCTCGGCTCTTCACTGTCTACGTCTTGATGTTTCGGCTCTTCTTTTTCCTGGAAGTCCTTCGAGACTCCCATCTGGCCATCTCCAGCTGGATCCTATCTTCATAAAACAGTTTCCGATTGCTTATGCCAAACACAACGTACTCCCATGTTACGATATTTCACATACCGTCAAACCGCATGGGCCAATTTTCCTCCGTGCTAATTACAGAAACACACATGTAATGGCGTAGCAAAACTGACGTACTAGAATATGCTCTGCGAATCCATTTGTTCACATCTTTGATTTATACAACATTGAGATGAGAAGCTAACTGTATCTTGATCAGTCAATACCAACCTCGAAATTCGCATGGCTTTGTTAGCTCAATTTTAGAAATTCTGGATTTTTACGCCGATTAATTAAATGAAGCAGTATGACAAGTTGCCTTCAACTTTAGTTATAAACACGAATTTAACCAAATATTAAAAATGATTTAGCAGATGTGAACATTAATGAGATGGATCAGAATTGACTTCGGCGTTGGATCAAATCCAGCAAATGTAGTACTTGAGGTCGTGCAAATAGATTCGATAGCAGCAAGAGGCTTCACGACAGTAACCACAATTCATGAAAAAATTGGTTTCCAGGTAAAAGTACTTCTACGAACTCCCTTCAATACCACTTAAGCCCACGTCAGCATCCAGAAACAAACTTCTCTATTTCCCTTTATCAACACTTGACAAAGTCGCTTGCACCGTCCTGTACACGCGTGTAGAATTCCAACACGTGTGAGCAGCCACGACAGAAGAGTACGCAAGACGTACTGACCCAACATAGACATGAAACGCCGTCGGTTTCGGCTACTTGATGTCAAATCGAGACCATCACCGGTTTTCTGCCATCGCTGTACTACTGCACAGTGTCTCCCACCCCTAATTGGTGCTGGTCAGAAATGATAATCAGATATAACCACCCGAAGCTACCTTAATCTGTTAACCCGTGGTCGTTTACAGCTCATGTGTGAAACCTGCCAGCAGTGTTCATACTTTGGTACCGTGGAACTCCCTTACCTGTAATCAATGGTGGCTTTCCCCAGGACCAAAAATAATGAGCTACTCTTGGCGGAAGGCTCATCAATGGCCCAAGCAATGGCCCTACGCATGCAACCATGTTGTCAGGCCGGATTCGGACAGATTTGTCAGACATGCAGGTATAGTTTGAAATGAGCAGTTGTTTATTAATGCAATTCAATTTGAATAGTTGCATACACATGCACGATATACAAATATTTTAGAATACATTCACGTGGCCTCGCACCCACTACCGTTTGGCACGGTGTCACCATCTCAAACCTACAAAGTCGGAACCCCAAGCAAGTGCAATCGAGTGCAGAACTGTCACTTGCAGAGCTGGTAAGCAGAAGTTATCAAGTTGTCTTTAGATTCCACTCGATTGAAGGTAATGCCACGCACCGAAGTACTCAAGCCTCTCATTGATGCGCGTGAGTGTGATGCAGTGCATACTGGCGTGCATGAAATGAAATTTGCTAGGCACTGTTACTGTGCACCCATGGAAAACCATCGATTCACAAGGAGAGAGATGTTGACGAGATATCGCCGTCTTCTGAAACCTCCGGCGAATAGGCCCTAGTGAATGGTCATGTTGACATTGGTCTAATGTAAACTGATGACCTTTTAGTGCCATCTAAGTGCGCTCTGCTTGAGCCTTAGATTGAGGAAAAAGTTGTCAAATTTGAAGATTAAGACACCTTCACTATTTCACTCTTGAAATTCAAATGATGCCTTCGACTATTCATACTTTAGCGTCCATAACACCAGTTTCACGTGAAGCACATTAAGCCAGTGAGTTCAACAACACGCTGTTTACTGTTTAATTTCTCAAAATGTCTTCTAATCAGCATTTTGCAGCTGTCCGCAATGCTAGGTGTCCTCAACTGCGACGTCTATAAGTCATTGTCGGTCATTGAACGCATAAGTTAGGGATTCGAGGTGAATGAAATTGTTCATTTGGCAATGGACATAGACATGTCCGAACACAACACCATTGACGCTGATTGGTCAGGGAGGCGATGCAATCAACGACTTAATGATGGCGACCAGGAAAGCAATTCAAACAACGTAATTACACGTCGTGAATTTATATCCTGAGAGTTTGGTCCCATAATGAAACAGGTTTTGCAGAGCAGACGTCATAATCTCGTTGGTTCGAGTGAGGGCCAGAGCAAATAGTTCTTAATTCTAAGTTCGCTTGAAGAATTTCCCAAAAACAATCCTTTTCCCCCAAGAGCAGTGCACAAACGGATGATGAAACGCCTGATGAATTTGTTCAGCAAATGAACGTGTGGAAACCAAACAGCGTGAATATTTTGAATGCTTTTTCTGTCCCATTGTTGATGCTCATTTGTTATCAGTAGATACCCATGTTCCTGTCATCTCTCTTGAATCCTTTTCCTATCCGAGGCGCGGCAGCGGATGACGCCACCACGCCAAGATTCACCGTTCGCTTTATTTGAATTCGTATCTGGTATCGATCGACAGTGCTGAGTTGGAAATCGATCAATAATGTTTGAAGCACACTTAAATCTGCTGCTAACTGAAAGCCAATCACACGTACTTGAATGCAGAAAACAATTTAAAGTATCTGCCTCCTAACGACAAACTTGAGTGAGTGTGTGCACCTAGGCCAAGCTCAAAATACTTTCTCTAATACCACCAATTTAATTTGCCCTACATAATCAAACGAGTCTAGTAGTTATTTGATCCATATTTTGCTTTTAAGCTACGTAAGATAGAACAGTAAACTGCAGGGGTATAGACTCGCACGTCTTGACATAAGGTTGCAAACTCAACCGAGTTGCCAACTAGAAACTAGGAACATTTATCAGACATACCGGCAATTTTCACCTAATTCAGTCTGAAAATTGTGCAAAAAATACGTTGTATTGAAAGCCGCAGAGTTTGCTTTGTGATTAAACAAGGAATTGGCAAAATACATTGCAGGCTTGTGTCGATGAAATTGCTGTTATTATTCAAAGTATTTGGGAAAATAATTAGGATATTTTCGTCCTATTTATTCCCTTTTGAAACAAGTCACATTGACAGATTTCGACAGTTTTTTTTGGGGATCTATAAAATGAATTTATATCTGCGTTGGGCTGATTTTGTCTGTGTTCAAGTACAGCCACTTTTTGTGACGAATTATTTCCGTTAGAACTCTCTAACATAATAATTTCTTGGATAAGAAAGCCGATTCAATTCCTTCCGTGTACAATCAGCACATTGTGGGCATTTTGCTGACCTCCATGCTCCCTATGTGCCCTCGTTGCTGCTCTCTTTGGCTCTAGTCTTCTTCCATTATCCATTATCTTTTCCCGAAACAGTACTTTCAATGTCTTGCTAATTATGTGCTAGAAGCATGTAAATAATTAAATAGGTATTTCAAAAGGAATCCGATTAAGAGTTTGAACAGTCGCTAGTTCAACAGTGGCGATTGGTCGTTATCAGGATCAGTGAAACTGCCTGATGAATGTTCTCGCTAATCAGCAGTTTCGTCGTCTTAACCAAATACCCACATGTTAGTAGTGTGGAAGACATTTACTATGTATTTAAAAAGAGTTCTTTAAAAATATTGGGACAATCGCTAGTTCAACAGCTTTGATCACCGGTTACCAGATCCCCTGACGATGCCTGTTGAATTGCCTTTTTGTGCCATCTCAAAAAATCACAACTTTTATCACCTATCTGTCAAGATACCAACAGATGTATGTTACCGGAGTAAATGAATCACTCTATTTATTGTTTTCGGTGATATTGGCGTTTAAAATCAATCAGGACACAAAATAGCAAAAGAGTTGGGGGTTAAACTGGAAAGTTTCTAGGTGATTTGTCATGGATCAGTCATGGTTTATAACTGGGTTAACAGGCTAAAGATGAACAGTGTAGCTGGTATTATTGTCGTTAATTAAGACTTTAACAAGTGACAAAAACAAAATTAACAGGTTGCGTCTTCCATGGTCTGTTGATGCGTTAGAGTCTAAAACCAAAAAGATTAGCATTAATTGCAACGCACAGATTTGATTACGGGTTTAAAATTTTTCCAAGAGTCACTTATTGGTGCCAAATTTACACAGACGCTCTTAATAGTCTAGGAAGATTGACTCAGTAATTCACACACGATTCGTGACCTGTCAGTCAACCTCAACTAAATGAGTACACACTGTAGTGTCTGCGTCGTTTAAACACTGAGTTGGGTGCCAAACAATTCTAATTAACTAGTGGAATACTCTCACCGGCTGCCCGCAGTCCAGAGCTGAAGCTCTGGTAGGAGATGCATTCACTCACCACCGTACAAATCATTCAAAATAGGAATTACATGCATACGCTTCAACTTACTCGTTAACAATGGCGTTGTGGTAGGCATCGGCATCGACGATGAACCTCTTTTGTGCTCTGCGAACTTTGAGTACAACGGCAGCGACCACAACTGCCACGGCTACTAAGCACGCAATGACAATTCCAGCAATCGCTCCAGACGATAGTCTTGCGTTGGCATTTGCATCACCTGGCAATGAGTCTTTTAAAAAAAACTTGGTTTAACGAAAGGATAATAATACGTTCAAGAGAGCCTAACGCCTTAAAGTCGTTAAAGTGTACAAAAAATCACTTAGTTGGGGGGAATCAGTGAATGTGCCAGATGGGCCATAGCCTCTAACACCAGGTTAGCCACTAAGAATGGTTGATTTTTGTGCGCAGGCATATTCTTTTGCGTGAACAGTAGGTCAAGCGCGCTCGTTCACGTTACCAGAAGACCTGTTTAAATTTTATGCAACAAAGACGTCTACTGACCAGTGCAAAACTTCGTGAGGTTTTTTTGATTTTTAATCAATACACGTAAGCTAGCACACGGTGCAGATTTTCTTAGACCCATCGGCAAATAAGTCTTTGAACGTGGAGCCTGGAGACGTGTCAGGGTGATGTTGCGAAGGTAGGTATCAAAATCAGGCACATATGCTTTCTCATTCCTACTATCAACTCGAAAACAAAGAATCCAAAGCAACTTACTTTCGTCCACTTTGCTTGACGTTCTGATGCTCACACCCGATGTTTCTGTAAATCCTGCCTTGTTATGAAAACGAATTTTCACACTAGAGGAAATAAAGAAGGATTGCTTGTGGAAAGAGCGAAATGATGTAGCAGTGGAGGAAGAAGTCACTCACACATAATCGGTTGAGGGCTTCAACGGACCGTTGAACGAGTTGTCGGGTTGAATCGTGCCCTTATCGGCGCCCAACGTGAATATGTAATCTTCCATATTCTGGCTCACACCACTGCTGCGAGAAATTGCGGTGACCTCCCAGGATTTGGAAATTCCCTGGGCGTAGGCGTAGTACGGCTGCAATTGCAAAAATGCACAAACAGGTTAAAGGCGTGTCATTTGTCACTGAAGCAGTGCTTTCCACCAGCCTACCATTCCGTCGGATGTCCTCGCAGAGGCACTAGCGGACTCCTCAACAAACACACCGACACGCGAGACCGGGCTGTACTGGGTGAAGTCGATGGCCGAAAGCTTGAGGTAAATATGGCATTCAGTTGAGTTATCCGAAACGGGCAGTGAGGAAGGCGGAGGGGAGAGGAGGTGCTGGGTGACGGGCTCCACAGCCGCTGCAGGAAATTCTGTTAAAACAAAAAGCAGGACGTTGCAAGTACATGGATCGCATGAATCCCAGCGGAGCGTTCTGTGTGAATTTGTGGCTGTCTAGCTTGTCAAGTCTGAATACGAAGGCGACTGAGGTGGCAAGACTGCAGCGAGCCGATTAAGCATGAGATATGAGGCACAGAAAATGCAAAGAAGAGACCAATCTAGTGTGTTGATATGTGTGTCGTTTTAGGTGTGAATACGACTGATGCAAATCCAGAGACTTACGACTGATCATTTAAAATTTACTAACCACCTCACAAGTATGCTTCTCAAGCTGTACACAAATCCACCATCATTCACAAAACTCACTAGTTACAATTAAGTTGACACCTATTGAGAGAGCTGGACCCTCCTCTATCGTCACCGCACTCACAGACAGACTGAATGTGTGATCAAAGTTGAGATTCTGCTCAATTGTTGCTTCTGGGGAAGCCGAGGTGCCCTCGAATACCACTCTGTCAGCGTCGTGCTTGTCAACCAGCTGCAGTTTGTAGCTCCGAATGAGCCCGTTCTTGTCCACCGGCTCCTGCCAACGACAGACAAGTCTGGACGATCCGGCCGGCTCCTGCACGCACGTCAAGTCACTAACAGGTCCTGGAGCTGTTGGATTACGAGAAGGAAGAGAATTAGGATAAAAGACCAATGATCCACGCAGTTTCACTTCATTGCAGTCACACAACAATATTGACTGCAAGCACTTGACAACTATCACCAGGATTTGAGTTTAAACTGACCAAATATTTATGTACCCTGAGTTGAATCAACTTCACTTGTTTTTAATCTATATAGATTTACGCAGTCACACCTTTGCTGATGCATTCAAACCCAAATAAACTTTACACTTTCGTACAGAAGTCTGAAAATAAATGCACGATTTCTCATTGAGTCTATTGTTCTTCCTCTTCCATCGGCATCTTGCGTCAACACTTGCCACAACTAGTGTGTGATTACAAACCAACTTGGTCAAACCAACTTGCATTTCCAAGGTTAACGAAATGTTTTATTAGCATGCAAATCCACTGACCGCCGTGTAAGTCACATGAAATATGCCATCGCACATTGGGCGCTTGCTCGATTTTTGAAGCCCCAACGACTGCCGTTTTAAAAACCGTTGCCTACATGGCGTGGGCCTCACTAGCAGAAAAACCTACAAAACATCTGGTGGTGCAGTCAAGCTGTCGGGAATTCGGCTCGCCTCCGTGTCCAACTCTCATTCTTCCACAGTCTGGGAGACCTACTATCTACGGCCACTACTGCCATCTTTCCTTCGACACAATTTAACTGCTATGCTAATACTGACTGAACCACACACTAACATGTGGTGCTTCTTTGACATTCAACACAAAATGCTGACCCTTCTGGACACAATCAAGAAAGGACTCTAAAATCTTGTTTAAAGGGAAGAGAACTACTTACCGCATGCCAAAGTTGTAAATCATGTTAGGCATTTTGCACTTTGTGTAATAGCTCGATTGGTTAAAAAAACTAGTCCACAATCTATTGTGCTTCGTTTTTGAGGTACATACAATAGCCGACATGATGATGTCTACAAACTCGGACTAGGTGTCAGCATTGATGGTGGCTTCCTTATGCTGCCCTACGTGCCTTATTGTGCATCTTCACGTGAGGAAAATGCAATTCGACAGAATAAATGCTCACCATTTACAGGGACCAATTTATCCATAACAACTCGGACGGGATTTTAAAAATTCGCACTTTAACTCAAGTCGTGCATCGAGGCATCAAGCACCTGGAATTTTGGCAATTTGCCTCGCTCTGTGCAGTTGTTGTGCGTAAATCAAATCCGTTCTTAGAATCCGTTAGCGTTAACGTGTTACCATACCACAGGGTCAAACACTAAATGTTCTTTGTCAACATTACGATTGGATGCTAAATTGGAAGTGCTGACCTAATCGATTGCTGAGACTAAATGCCCAAAATAGTCTTCGCAAAACACACCAACACAAAACATTTCAAAGTAAAATTTACCAGTTTCATCGGTCGTAACTTCCTCTGTTGCACTAAGTGGACCTATTCCACCGCCTTTACCTCGTTCATTGGGTGCAGTAGCAGCACGAACGGCTGCAAAGATGCGTGTGTATGGCTTGAGTCCAACAAACGAATAGGCGAACGTCTTGGCAGAAACTGTGGCATTGGTCTCCCACAAGTTCGTCTCCTTGGTCGCCATGAAAACGGTGTAGTTGGCGATGTCACCATTCGGTTCGGCTGGAGCCTGCCATGAAATGGTTGCTTGTTCAGAACTGTCGGCTTTAAGTCGAACGTTTGTTGGAACACTGGGGGCTACAGACACGTAGTAAAAAAATACGGACTAAAACTCACTGTGGCAATTATTCAGGTTTTGAAATTGAAAAAAATTGCTTTTCAATTTAACGAGCAGGGGCTGTATAAGCCTAGACGAAATCTTGCATACCATGGGTGAGAATGATCAGTTTTTGGCCGCATGGAACGTTAAGCAATGGCACCACTTCACTGTGTGATTTCAGTACTTACGTCTAAGAAACTGTTTAAACCTATCCAAACTTTCAACAAAAGTAACATGAAGAAAAGTGCAACAGCCAAATGTGAACACAGTAGAAATAAAAAGTAACCATCATGCAACCTCGACAGAAACAAAGCCTCATGAAACAAACACGCAAACGGTGCCTGTAGAAAAATGCCCCGGATTACACCCCAACTCCACGCCGAACCAATAATCTGAAATTATCCATTCGACATACCACGACTTCGTACACTTCTCAGCATCTGAACTTGGTCTCATTTTAGTAATAAAGCATTACGGTGTAGATGATCGCCAGCCAATTTACTAATGACTGGTTGAAGCATTTAAACTCACACCACCTACCTGCAGACCACGTGACACCACTTCTGGCAAAGGCATAATCGTTGTAGCCTCCGCCCTGTCCCTCATCGTTTGGGAGGACGTAACCACGAACAGTGACTTCGTAGCGTGTGTTGGGCTCCAATCCGGAGATCTTGTGGGATCGCGATTCAGCACTTACATTGGCCACATGCTGCCACTCTGGCCTGCTAACGGAGCCTTGAACGTAGGGTCTAATGGAGACGGTGAAGCCTCCCAAGGTGCCTCCCACATTTTCGGGATCACCCCAAGACACCTCAAGTGAGTGAGCGTCCAGTGCCACGAGGTCTTTGATGAGGAGGCTTTGTAAAGCTAAAATTCAAAATGTTTAAATCAACTTTGCCATATTGTGTCATCAGAACCTCATCACGTCGCTGGGTGTCAATGGTGCTGATTGTACCCCCATGCCACAACCTACACAGCTGATTTAGACATTGTGGCTCCTTTGCTTCAAGTCTGGTATTGGGTTGACAGTTGACAAGGCCGGGATAACAGCACCGATAGAAAAGTAAACCACGCGACGTCGGGCTTCTTGACAATTTGTGCACACTGTCAGGTAGCTCTGTCTGATTTCACCAATTTTATTCAAAATTCCGAAATGCATTTAATGTCTCGATTCAAAAAGGCAAATTAATATTGCTACCATAGCAACAAGAAACTACCGTAATCATGATACATTTACTGCCTCTAGTAAACATTGCAGCACATACTTCCAGGCCATGTTGTGACGGGAGTCGACTTTGCCGATTTAGTTGTGAGTGTATCAGGCCATTGAGCAAGCAGCGCCGTCGTGCTTGCTTCGACGTAGCACTCGTATTTAGTATTTGATCGCAGTCCCTTCACTTCAACCGACGTCGTCGTGTTGTCCTTCGTGGAAGCAGAGTAAGGCCAGTTATCACCGACTTGAGTGCAATGCGCCCTGTAGGGTTTGAGAATTCCATTTGTCTCTGTTGGGGGTGACCACGAGACTACGATGGAATTCGAACTTACTGCCTTGGCAGTGACGTCGGTTGGTGCCGAGGGGGCTAGAATAGGAGTCGAATTGCGCTT